AATTTGGTCATATAAAAAGAGAGGAGGGCTTCCCTGGTGGCGCAGTGCTTGAGAGTCCGCCTGCCGATGCAGGAGACGCGGGTTCGTGCCCCGTTTCGGGAAGATCCCACATGCCGCGGAGCGGCTGGGCCCGTGAGCCATGGCCACTGAGCCTGCGCGTCCGGAGCCTGTGCTCCGCAAATGGGAGAGTCCACTGGTCCAATGTCAGTTTCCAAAAATTCACCATAATGTTATTACCTTCTCTTTTTCCACCTTTATAATATGAAATTTGGTCATATAAAAAGAGAGGAGGGCTTCCCTGGTGGCGCAGTGCTTGAGAGTCCGCCTGCCGATGCAGGAGACGCGGGTTCGTGCCCCGTTTCGGGAAGATCCCACATGCCGCGGAGCGGCTGGGCCCGTGAGCCATGGCCACTGAGCCTGCGCGTCCGGAGCCTGTGCTCCGCAAATGGGAGAGGCCACAACAGTGAGAGGCCCGCTAACGCAAGAAAAAAAAAAAAAAAAAGAGAGGAGCGAGTCCTGTGCACCACAGAAGAGAAAAAGGAACAGAGCTGGGAGACAATGCAAACACACTTTACCAATTCCTGTCGAGCCAAAGATTGGTTTTGCCCTCAGAAATGACTTTATAATCTGGGTTTTTAAAAAATGAAATGCAAAAATATTGATGTTCCATAGAATAATAACGACAGTTACCATATATTAGATAGAACCAAATTAAACGGCCAATGTCCAGCCATTTATTGCCCCCATGGCAATTTTATATTGGTTCAGACTAATACTTAATGATTACTCCAAGTTAGGCACTGCAATCCTCTGTATATTCTAACTCATTCAATCCTCACAACTTCCGTACAGTGAAGTTCATGGTTGCCTCATTACAAGCAAGGCATTCTCTGCTTTCAGGAGGTAGGCTGGAATTCTAGATCCTAAATACAGGCTAAGTGGTAGGAGACAGGGTAGGTTTGGAGAAAGTGCGTTTGCCTTGCAGTACGTGGGATATACACGACAGAGGACCCAGGGAGCCGCGGGGGGCTGCCTTCATGGTTCCGTTAACTTGCTCATGCAGGCTCTCCAGCAACCTCTACGTCATTAAATTAAAGGACTTTGTTTTATTTGGCCTCTTAGAAGCATTCAGTAGCCTATTTTTTTGTTCTTTTAAGAAGATGTTGGGGGTAGGAGTTTATTAATTTCTTTTATTTATTTTTGCTGTGTTGGGTCTTCATTTCTGTGCGAGGGCTTTCTCTAGTTGTGGCAAGCGGGGCCCACTCTTCATCGCGGTGCGCGGGCCTCTCACTATCACGGCCTCTCTTTTTGCGGAGCACAGGCTCCAGACGCGCAGGCTCAGTAGTTGTGGCCCACGGGCCCAGTTGCTCCGCGGCATGTGGGATCCTCCCAGACCAGGGCTCGAACCCGTGTCCCCTGCATTAGCAGGCAGATTCTCAACCACTGCGCCACCAGGGAAGCCCAAGTAGCCTATTTTTCTAGAAAAAAAAAAAAAAAACCCTGTATCTTTTCTTCCATGGCACTCTCAGGTTTTATTATTGTTGTTTGTTTTATTTTCCTTTTATTTATTTATTTTTTATTGCCTGGTTGGCTGCTCCTTTTTCTTTTAATCCCCTCTGCAGGATCCTTGTCTACCCTTCCATGAAATTTTGGAGTCTCTCAAAGCTCTAAGAATAGAATGCCTAAGATTCTCTTATTACTCTATATTTTCTCCTGGGGCTGTCTTATCAACACACTTGGTTTCAGTATATGCATAACCCCAAATATTTTTATCTGGAACCCTGTCTCCTCCTCTTAACCCAGATCTATACATGTAAATGTCTACTTTACACTGCCACTTGGCTATCTTATAGGCTTTTAAAACTCACCAACTCCAAAGCTGAGTTTGATATCTTTCCTTTCAAGTCTGATCCCCCTCCAGTAAGCTCCATCTTAGTTAAAAGCATCATCATCTAGTCCCTTAAGTATTTGCAGCCTAACTGCTAGGCTTCCCTAGTGGCTCAGTGGTTAAGAATCTGCCTGCCAATGCAGGGGATACACGTTCGAGCCCTGGTCTGGGAAGATCCCACGTGACGTGGAGCAACTAAACCTGTGCGCTACAACTACTGAGCCTGCACTCTAGAGCCCACGAGCCACAATTACTGAAGCCTGTGCTCCTAGAGCCTGTGCTCCGTAACAAGAGAAGCCACCACAATGAGAAGCCCGCGCACCGCAACAAAGAGTAGTCCCCACTCACAGCAACTAAAGAAAGCCCACGCGCAGCAATGAAGACCCAACACAGCCAAAAACAAATAAATATATTGAAAAAAACCTAACTGCTTTTCACTTCTGTTTACTGCCCACCATGGTTATTACTATTATCATAGAAATATCCATCGTGTCTATGCTGATATAATGGCCTTCTAATAGGACTCAGCATTTACTTTATCCCTTCTAATCTTTTCTGTAAATTGCAGGAAAAATAAATGTAAATATTATCACATCACACTCCTCTTTTTTCAAATTTTTCAGTACCTTCCTGCTATTGTAAAGACACGTTCATTGTATACCATGTTCCTATTGCTTCCGTGTTGCTCTGCTAAGCTGGGAGAGTATAGAAAATAACTTGTGCAAAGGCCCTGGGGTAGGGTAAATAACTTCCAGATTCCTGAACATGCCATTTTATCTCCCACCACAGGGCCTTTGCACAAGCTGTCTTCTCTTCCTGGACCACTTTGCCCATCCCCATTCTTCTTGCCTAGTTGGATCCTATTTTATACTTAAAATCTCTGGTCTCTGTGAATAGGTCAATTTTTCATATTATATTATTTTGTAGGATTATATACCTCCTTGTTATAACATTTATTACAGTCAGCATTTCATATCATTGCCTTTATTTAGACAGAAAATTGAAATTTATAAAGGTAAAGTAGTATACCTTTGGTTACTCATATTAAAGGTGGCTAAAATTAAAGTCAGATCCAAAATTGCCAGACCCCAACCCCTTGCTTCCTGCTCCTCATTGTGCTGGTTCTTGTGTAGCACTCTGAATCAAAGGCATTGAGAGCACCATCATGGTAACTACACCTGGGTCTATAAATCCACTCGCAGTCTTTGGAGTTTTAATTTCACTCTTGATTTTGAACTCAAAAATGATTTTATGCATTTCCCCAGGCTATATTTGACTAGCTTTAAAAACTAACAAAGGGCTTCCCTGGTCGCGCAGTGGTTGAGAGTCCGCCTGCCGATGCAGGGCACACGGGTTCGTGCCCCGGTCCGGGAAGATCCCACATGCCGCGGAGCGGCTGGGCCCGTGAGCCATGGCCGCTGAGCCTGCGCGTCCGGAGCCTGTGCTCCGCAACGGGAGAGGCCACAACAGTGAGAGGCCCGCGTACCGCAAAAAAAAAAAAAAAAAAAAAAAAAAAAAACAAAACACCCAGTAGATGTTATGTGGAGATCATTGTTTAGTGGATACAGTCTTATTTCTTTTGTTTTAATAGGTATTATTATCCACCATTTTCGTAGTTCTTTTTATTGGCAGAAGCAGGGTGGAGTAGATTATTATATGTAAATCATGCTTATTCCATTAGAGTCATCAACTCACAGCAATTAAATAAAATGGAATTCTTTATAAGTTGGTACATCTACTTACTTGTTTCCAAATTCAGTTGGAAGATTTAATGGGCTTACAAATGTGGATGGAAAGGATGACATTCTTGAAGATGGCAAGATGCCCAAACAAGGTCTCAGTGACAGGTTTTTTTATCTCTTTAATATGAACCTTTCAAAATTTAAAATGTCAACCAAGGCTTGCCAGGGCCACACGATTGCCCCTCTTCATTTAATCAGAAATGTGGATAATGTGGTATTTCTCTTAGGTTTACTTTCTGTTTTTGATACTCCAGTCTGAATAAAGACATTGAAAATGTAAATAAAGCCTAAGAGGGGAGAGAAGAGAGGATAGTTCTTCTAGTACATTGTTTCCCAATACACTGCTGCAGGAAGAAGCTTTAAAATGTACAGTCATATCTGAAGAGAGGATATAGTGCATGATCTCAGGAAAGAAGGAAAGGAGAGAGAGAGGGAAGCAGGGACGGAGGGAGGGAGAATGAAAAGAAGGGAAGGGAAGGAAAAAGGGAGGGGGAGAGAGGGAGAATGAAAGAAAGGAAGGGAGGGAGGGAGGAAGGAAGGAAGGTAAATAGAGAGATAGAAAGGAAGGAAGAAAAGAAAGGGAAAGACTATAGTCTCTGCTGTATAAAGACAGAAATGAAGACAAGAGGAGGATAATTAACAGAAAGAAAGTTCTGAGATCTGTGGATAAAAAGGTCTTGATGAGATGGAAGAACGGCTTCAGTAGACATATTTCAGAAAACGAGCTAGAAGTGTAAATGTCACTGTCTGAAAAGTGAAATGCTTGTTTTTGAATTCTTGTCACTTTTTGCAATATAAGATGCTCTAAGATATGACCTTGGTAGTCGAGGTTGAGGTTACTGTGCCAGATCATTGGTATTGAGGAATGAGTAAATATTCACATATATTATTGAAGTTCTCTTTCCTTAATGATGTCAATCATAGTAATGGGTGGATGAATGGGAGACTGATGGCCAGGGACCAAATCAGAAAATGCAGTGGCATCAGTATCACATAAATTGGAAGTCATCACTGGCACAGGAAAGTTCTGATAGCAGACTGTTTGGGGCCACACCATAATTTTTAAAATGTATGTTCCCAGTATGTTCTCAAGTCATGAAATGTCTTTTGATAATAAGATTCATAATTGTGATATCTTTGTATGAGTTCTGATTTAGCCATGCACATACAAAAAAGAAATAAAAGCAGCTGTCCTGTAGACCATTGCAAAGAAACTGAATCATAATAACATCCTCATGTTTTCTTATTCATGACAGGAACAAAAAAACTTTGCTTTGAAAGGCTCCTACCAGTTCAGAAGTGTGAGGACGGAGATTGTCTCTGCTGTGCCGTGCTAACATCCGCTCTAATTCTCTTTTTCAAATTCACAGAGAGTGAAGAGGTTTATCAGAGGCAGGTGCTGTCAATTTCATGTATCGTCTTTGGAATTGTCCTCGTGGGCACGTTCTGTGCGGCATTCTACTTCAAAAGCAAGTAAGACCATTTCTCTCAGTGTTAAAAGGTTACTTCTCAGAGGAAGCGCTTTGTCTTTCTTTAAAGTGCTGAGCTCAGTACTCAGTCTGAGCTCCAGGCAGAGGGATTTTGTGCAAATCGTGTCCATGAGACTTCCATAAGTAACTCTCAGTCTTCTGTAGCCTGTGGTGAATGTGTACGGTGTGTGCACGCATGTATGTGTGTGTGTGGTTTATCTTTGATGCACATAGCGATCATTCCTCTCTGTCATCATGAACACTCTGTGTCCTTTGCACTTTTGATTGCCTGCCGGAATAAAAGGCTCAACATTTGCCTGTCACTAAGGAGTTAACTCTTCTGAAAAGAGAGGTCACTGCTATAGACATAAACATTATTTAGTATCTAGCCTTTCATGGAAAGTATCTAGCCTTTCATGGAAAAAAAAACAAACAATTTCCTTTTATAGTGTTTTTACCTGCTACCCGTCAAGGTTTTAGCCAAATATGAAGTATGAATACTGGAAAATCTACTTTGCTTAACCATTTAGTATGCACGTCTAGAATATGCCCTCCACTTACCTTGCCAAGAAACCAAACCTTCTGCCCAAAGCACTGCTTTTCTGGGGTTAATAAGGTAGAATTGAAAATATACATATATATGTATATAAGCATGTATGTGTATATACATATATATTTATTCCACATAACTTTGGTAGAGGTATTTTATTTATGTAAATGACATAATCTACACTTAAGAAATGCAGATAAAAATATTAAATTCCTTGGTTTCTTGGAACATATGCAGGCCTTGAGAAGTTGGCACAGGTTCTTTTCCTACAGCTTGTCCGCGTCACTTGGAAATCCAGGCCAACATGTAATTGCTTTTCACTGGACCTGTATTTTTCTACCCATTTGCTCTTCTAAAAATGGACCAATTTCCAGATACAGTCTGTGATACCTGTCTTCATGTCGTATATGTTGATCTTTAAAAAGAACAGCGATTAATGATTTTTAAAAGTAATGGAAACTCAGGTATAAATCCAGAATTAGTGACTATTATTTTTTAATACACTATTTCAGAATAGGTTTAGATTTGCAGAATTGCCATGAAAATAGTACAGATAGATCCAATGTACTAGAATGTACACTGCCCAGAGAGAGTCAGGACTTACCCGAAGGCTTGTATTCTCTTGCTTATGTATGTTTTCCTTCCCATAATCCTTCGGATGCTGCCACTCTGGTCCTTTCTCCATTCTCTTGTCACCCGTGGTATGGCATGACCTCACCCGATGGAATATTACAGCACATTGTTAGCTGATGAAAGTTTGAACGTAGGTAACATGAGAGGCAGAAGTGAGCAGCACCTTCTTGAATTTAGGGGATTTTCTGAGTTAATTGAACCCCGACAAGGGGATTGAAGGGCTCACTGAAAGAAATTCTTTTCTCCTCACTCCCAATAAGCCCGTATATTCCTATAAGTAGTTAGTCGAACTATTAATTGAGCCTTTCATATCTGACTGATACGGCTCACATAGCAACTATAAATTCTTCTAGGTTTTCTTTTTACTTTTAACTCATATGGGCTAAGAAGTGTAAGGCTGGGAGTCCTTAGTAGACTTTGGAAATGCAAGACATGATTCAACTCTAAAAATGGAATCAGAATAGGAGAAGAGATGTTCCAGGAGCAGAATGATTTGTTCCAGGGACAAATAATTGTCACAACCGGGAAAGCACAGGAGGAAAAAGGAGAACCGGTGCTACCAGTAGAAAGCAGATGTGCTCATAACTTGCCCTGACTATAGGTTATCACCCTCTGAAGTAAGAGATTTTAGATCACCAAGCAAGGCTCTTAAGGACAGGCAATGGATGTTCTGATGCGATGCTATGATTCTCTTCAGCTGTGGAGGTCTAAGTCCCCCAGCTGCTAGTACACAGCTATAAGAGTTACCTGACCCGAGATAGCCAGCATCCAGTGACAGGTCAATGTGAAGCTTTGAAGGCCTAGACCTTTGCCCCAACTTGGGGTGCAAGGCCATGCCAGTTTCAGAGCTCCCCGTGGGATTTGCAGAGGTCTTCACTGAGACTGTATCACATTCCAGCTTCTCCCTCTGCCCAGTCCTGCTTCCTTCCCTTCATTTCCACAGACGTTGATCCAAAGAGCCCTCCCTAATAAAAATCCTGCACGCTATCTCCATCTCAGTGTCTGCTTCCCCAGGAAGGCAACCTGTAACATTACAAAAAAGGTCTCCCGGTGGACTGGTGATGCCTGATATTCCACCACTTTACACCTCATTTATTTCTGATGAATTGAGCCAGAGCAACTTGAAACTCACTGAACTATAGAATCACACCGACATTGTTAGGCTAGTAGGTTCCAGTGTGAAATGCCCGTATCTTGTCTTCCCCAGAGCAACTGCTCTCATGAGAGAGCTAATGGTGTTGCAGGCAGACACTTCTCACTTCCTTTGTTCCCATTTGCTGAGGGGAGGAGGAAAGAGCAAAAATGTGTGTGCTTGGGAGATCAGAGGGATGGTGGGCAAGGAGGCAGGTTCAGAAAAGAAAGCCCATTGATTCTGGAATACTAGTGAGTCAGTACGGGGGCAAGAAGAGAGCAAAGGAAAGCAAATTATAAAAAGGATTTAGGAAATGCAGTCAGAAATTTTTATGAGGAAAATTCCTTTAGAATTTTACATTTCCCAGATGCCGAATTGTGGAATTACTGAAAAGATCGTTAGTATTTCTACTATTTAATTCTTAGGAAATTAATTGGGTCCTGACTCTGTGCCAAGCCCCCTTTTACTACTTTATGATGATTCACTCAGTAGAACTGCCTCATCTCCAGTTTGCTTCATCAGTGAATCCCTGATAGGATTTTGTGGCTAACACGTGCTTCTTAAAATGCTGAGATGATAGATTTGTTTCTGACAATGGGCTACAGATTAGCTGTGAGGAAGTAGATAGATTATTACAAGTGCATTAAAGCAACAGAGATAAAAGCCCCCCAAATGATTGAAAAGATAAAATAAATATTTAAACAGAGCTACATCACACCAGTATTGTAAATGCAAAGGACGTAATGATGCTCCAAGCCTCCAAATCCTGTAGCAAATACTGTGACTTGCTTGTGAGAGAGGCAATTAACAAGATCTCTTCTTTTATCTTGGAGCCAGTGTTCTAATTCCTCTGCAGCATCTGCCCATACAACTAAGCATATGTTCTCACATTTAGTTTCCACAATATTTATGGAAGAGAGCTTTTCCAAACTCCATTGACAGATGAGGATAACTGAGGCTCAGAGAAGTTTTGGAAATCAGTCATTTTGATTTGGGGAATCAAAGCAAAGCTGGTGGGTGGCAGAGCCAGAATTCAAAACTCAGGCACTATGATACTTGAGCTCATGGTGTATAGAGTGCTGTCTCTACCTGGAAAAGCTCACTGCAAGAGATGGTGCACAGTCTCCACCAAAGGCTCTCTCCTGGGCACGGACCTTGGAGAAGAGGCAAAAAAGTCTAGGGCGGATGATTCTGCGAAGTTTGTCTGCCTGTTTGTTTGTTCATTTTATAGGTACTGAGTCTTCTGCTGATAGATAATTGCTGTAGAGCTCTTGGGAGAGAGCAGCTAATAAGCCAGTAATTTGTCACATCCTTCTGATACAGCCACTGAATGGTCAGAACAACAGTCACTCCACATCTGCAGAAATATTTTACTTGGAGTCCCAAACCTGAGAATAATCTCAGCCTTCCCATCAGGAAGCTGCATGACCATGGGCAAGTGGTTTGACCGTCGTGAGCGGTGGCTCAAAGTGCAAAGTACACAGCCAGACTCGCTGGGTTCAAATCCAGCTCTACCACTTACTAGCTATGTGACTTTGGGCAAATTACTTAACTTCTCTGGGCCTCGGTTTTCTCATCTGTTAAATGAGTATAGGATTAATGCCTCATCACACACAAATTATCGTGAAGAATAAGTAAGTTGAGACATGTAAAACACTTAAAATGATGCTTGGCACATAGTAGGTGCTCTTTAAGAGTTAACAATTTTTATTATTTACAAAAGTTCTAATAAAAACCTACATTCAGGGCTGATGGTAAAAATAAATGAACTCTTTCTAAACTGTAAAAAAGAAAATATACCCGTTATGGTATATGTGAAAGCTATGCAGTCACGCCACACTTATTTGAATTGGACAGATATAAATGTAACTTTGCAAGTATGTTATATGTGGTTGCTAGGTCCGAGCTTCAAAGTTCTCCACTTGTCACTTCTTCAGAGCATTCCTAATTCTTTTCAGTTGAGCACTCAGGGATAGGGACCTCTTGCATCCAATAGGGACAGGACAAGGAATTACACTTTGGAGTGCCACTGGGTGTGAATCCTGGATGATAACAGATAATGCCAGTATTTCTTGGTGGGGTTGAAGATGAAGGGAGGATTCTCTTTGTTAAGTGAGTTTATCTAGCTTTAGCAAATGACAAATATAGATGTTGGGAATGAATGAACCTCAAAAAATATGAATAGAATACATTTATATTTATTCTATTTATAAATTCTATTCTATTTATAAATAAAACTATTTACACATGGATTTATTTAAACCTGCAGGAAACAAGCTAAACAAATTCAAGAGCAACTGAAAGAGCCACATAACGGTAAAAACTACAGTCTCAAAGCATCCAGCACGATGGCAAAGTCAGAGAACTTGGTGAAGAATCATGTCCAGCTGCAAAATGTAAGTTACACGTCTATACATCTCTTCCCACAGTCCATCTCAGTGCTTCCAGTCCAGAGGGGCTGGGGAGCCTGTGATCAGACTTGCCTATTTTTTTCAGTACTCTGTAGATTTTTCCTTAAATCATGTTGCATTTTCGTGTGCGCACACAAGTACTGGATAAAAGAAAGAAAAATTAAATCTCAGCTCTTGATTACAATCTGTAATATAATTAATCTCTGGAAGCAAAAAGAGCTTCAGTTGTTTGTTCCATAATCTCTTACTGAATCCTTACTTATCAGCAATTGAGCTGGGCACTAGGGGTACAATGTTCCCTACGGTAGGAAACTGATAGAGTACAAAATACAGACACCCAGAGGAGGCTTGTAGGATGAGATGGTTGATATTGCAGCAGAGATTGGAGAAGAGACCAGAGGGAGGTGGTGGGGGCAGAAGTGGAGGCAGAGCCACAAATCCAGGCTTGAACAGGATTTTGAAGAATATTTAAGGTTCATCAGAGAGTCAAAGAGCAAAGAACACAAGACTAGAACAAAGAGAAAGAATAAACCCATGGAATCCTAAGAATACATGCTATGTTGAGGCAACTCTGAGTTAAGGGGTGTGAGAGAAATCAAAGGTCAGAAACATGGGAGGGAAGAGTTGTGGTCCCAGAGTTGGGACTTCCTGCCACCAGGCCTTAAACAGATACCAGAACTTGACGTTAAATAAATGCAAGCTCTTTGAATCCTACATTCTTTCTAAAGTGGTTTTAAACATTTCTGAGATATATTACAAAACACTAAATTAAAGACAAGCAAATGTTCCCGAACAGGTCCTGCTGCTTGCAGCTCGAAAGAAAGCCAATATTCCAGAGACAAGTGTAACTCCCGAGATTTTGCTCCGTGAAAGTTTTTAAGAGAGAATCGAATCATTGGCCCGGGGTGGGGGTGGGGGGGGGGTTTCTGTTGTCATAATCTTCGTGCAGACTTTCTTCTGATTGGTTTGTGGTGAGGTAACAGGGTGGTAGTCCAGGAATCTGTTGTTTATCCTGAAGTTACCATCCTCTACCTAAGTAGGGGCCTTAGTCCCTGCAGAAGAACTCAAAGATACCGTTACGAATATTTCATGAGAAGGAGCCAGGCCCCTGCCCCATGCAGCACTATTGTTTCTTGACTGTTCCTCTTTGTTTCTGCATTCCCTCCCTTCCCTGATCAGTCATTGTTTGAATCTGCTCTTTGGAACTAAGGGAGGGTCAAGGAGGCTGAATGAAGCCTGTTTCCTACAAACCAGAAATGAGGACACAGAAAGGATTTGTATCCGGCAGGGCCCCACAGGGTCCTGCTCCATTTCACAAATGCCATATAAGGCGTACTGGAAGATTCCTATTAGGGTAGCAATTCTTTGTCCCCGACCAGACTGCACTTCCAGATTCTGAGACACAAAACGAAAGCACAAAGGCCATGACAGTATTTGAGTATAATACGCAATCACCCAGGACACATTGACACCCCTCCAAATGCTTGAATCACTGGGAATTTAAACATCATTTGTGACTTTAGGAAATCATTACTCCAAAAGTCACCATTATGCTATGCGTGACAGATGTACTTAGATGTTTAATGCGGAATTCATAAATCAGAATTGCTTCCCAGCAAAGTTTTGTTAAACTTGTAATCATGGTTGTGTGTAGGGATTGTTCTTTTCAGAAACAGGGTGAATGCTTTTGTTAATGATTTCTAATGAGTAGTATCCCATCACTGTAAAGACAAATGCAGTGATGCAGGGCTTCTTTGCAACTGAACCTGTCAAAGATAAAGCCAGAGTCTAGTTAAAGTAGTAAGGACAGACTTTTGATCAGTAATATACTGTTGCAAGAGTCAGGGAGGTGAAAAATTACCAAGAGTTGGTCATAGAAATGCGATTAGGCCAGCTTTGTCTGTTAGCTGGCCATTATTGAACTTAGGATCCTGTTGCAGGAAAAATGGGGTGCAAGAGGATGGTCATGCCCCAGGTCTCGGGTGAGTCCCTGGGATGGGCCGCCAAGTGAGGGTCCTTAGCTTTGTGTAGGAAAGAATTCAAGAGCTAGCCACAGTAAAGTAGACAAAGTGTGGGCCATCTCAGAAGGCAAAAGGTGGCCCCAGAATATGGGTTGGTTTGTTTTTATGGGCTAATGAGTGGGAGGATTATTCCAACAGTTTTGGGAAGGGGCACATATTTCCAGAAATTGGGCCACTGCCCACTTTTGGCCTTTTATGGTTGGCCTCCGGAAGTGTCATGGTGCCGCTAGGTGTGTCATTTAGATGCTAATGCATTACAGTGAGCATATAATGAGGCCCAAGGTCTAGTGGAAGTCAAATCTTCCACCATCTTGGACCTAGTTGGTTCTAACTAGTTTATGTTGTGTCCTGTTCTTAATAGTTGTGTCATTCTTTTAAAGGCTGTGCCTTGCCCCCTTCCTTCCTATCTCACTGTCCTTCTACAGAGACTGGGAGACTGAGTGAGTCCCTACCCTTCCTAATGATTACATTTCAAATAAATTGTCTTTCAGGTCCATGAAAAAGACTTTCCCCAGTTGTAGGAGATACATAACACATCTCAAAGGGACAAAGGAAGGTTAACAATCCTAAACCCTTTTTAGTAAATGCTCTGAGAAAGAGAGGTCTGGGGACTACCTCAGGCATTGGCTAAAATGAATGGCAAATTCTTTTGGAGGCCTTGAGGGGCCTTTGTTGGCTTGTTCGTTTTTGGTGGTTTTTGGCAAGCATTTTAAGGTGGTGGGGCGGGGGGCTAGGGATATAGCATTGTGAGCTGTTAGAACTATGTTAGAGTTTACTCAGGTCTTTCAGTGTGAGGGTGAGTGGATGAAATATTTAGGCAGAGGATCTGCAGTTTTTAAAGGCCAAAGTTGAGGCCTAATCGAAAAAAGGGCTTAGAGGAGCCTGTCTACTCAAGAAGAGAGTCTGTCGGTCCCTTTGCATTGTATAGGGCTGCAGCCAGAACACACACACAGTTTTGTATTCTTTCTCACCGAACGTATGGTCGGTAGCATCTTCTCTATGCTTTATGATCTCCACACATTCATTTGGGAGACAGCATAATGGCCCACAGAGTGGTCACCTCACAATTTACTTCTCCTTCCCCTCCCAGTAGACACTCATGTTTTCTATTGTTTAATTATTAAAATTAAACTCTTTACTCATGTGTTTCCCCCACCCCTCATTTAACTGGAATTATTAGGATTCGGACAACAAGAAAGAAATGATCAACTGTAGGGCCGCCACACTTGAAAGACCTTTGGGTCCTATAGTTTTCTCTTCTTTTTCTCTCCCTCTCCCCTCCCCTTCAGCCCAGCCCTCCCACAACGTTCTGTATGTTGGCACAGGGCAGCAGAGGTTCAACTGGATGATTCCCCCAGAGCCCAAGATAGGAAAGTGTCTTTTTATATTCATTCTATTTTTGGACAAAGAGAGGATACATATGACACTTTATCTCTGAGCTGTGGTGTGGTCAGCTAGTGAAACTGTGCAAATCAGATTGAGAGTTGAACCCATGTGCTGGGACTCGAACCCAGCCTAAACCCAGATTGGCACTTGAACCCACAGTCTTTTAACTGAGATCACCCACCTGGTTCCAGGACTTAATGAAGCTCAGGTTCTTTATGTCTCGTCACAGAAAGAATTCAGTGAGAGACAAAGTGATAGGTAAGAAGTGGATTTATTTAGAGAGGTACACATTCCATAGATAGGATGCGGTCATCTCGAAAGGCAAGAACAGCCTTGGGAGAAACACATTCCACAGACAGCAGGTAGGCCATCTCAAAAAGTGAGAGGCCCCGAAATATGGTGTGGCTAGTTTTTATGGGCTGGGTAATTTCATAGGCTAATGAGTGGGAGGATTATTCCAACTATTTGGGGGAAAGGGTGGGGATTTCCAGGCCCACTTTGAGGCCTTTCATGCTTAGCCTCTGAACTGTCATGGCACCTATGGGTGTGTCATTTAGCATGCTAATATATTACAATGAGCATATAATGAGGCTCAAGGTCTACTGGAAGTCCAATCTTCTGCCATCCTGGACCTAGTTCATTCTAACCAGTTTTTTGTCACGTCCTATGGCTATGTCATTCTTTTAAAGGTTGTGCCCTGCCCCCTTCCCTCCTGTTTCATTAGGATAGCACATTTCAAGGGATCAACAGTCTGAAAGGCTACACAAAAACTGGGCGTTCAGGCAGAGAATAGATGGGAGAGGAAGGCATTTAAGGACCCTGAAGAAAGAGCTCAAGGTGCATTGAGGAGACCTATGCATGCCAGCCATAGCATTCTACACATTGGCGACTGGGCTCAAGAGACGCCTGAGCGGATCGCTTTACAAGACTAGTGTGAAATGAACAAGTTGCTTTCCCAAAGGCACATATCAATTTCAGTGCAAGAAAGCAATATGGTCCCCACCAGCTTTGTTATACCTTTGTCAGCATTTCTTTTGCTAATTCAATAGGAGAAAATTGTATCCTTTAATTAAATTTCACTGTTTGAGAGGGTAATATAATCTCTGTTCATATATTTCTAGTCAGATTTCCACTGTGGTGAATTATATGTTGATACCCTTGCTCATAGTTTTATTATAAGAAGCAAATAACAATTTAACAGCAATTTTTCATGCCATATGTTATGGGAGAAAATAGTAATAGAGAATACATATCAATAATCCCTTAAAAAGAAATCGAAATGTTTAAGAACATTTGCTTTCCTACAGTGCTATGCTTAAGATATACGAGAAGCAGACAGGACATCTGAGCAGTTGTCAAGTAGCAAGTAGTCTTAGGGAAAGCAGTAATTTGTCATGTGGCTAAGAAATATCTGCATGCATATTCAAATGCAAATGTATTAAACAAAATTTGGAAAAGCAGTTTTCTTTTGTAGGTCTATAGTTTTTTTCTTCAGACAAGAGCCACAAGGAAATACCAATGTTAATGATAACAGCAAAAAATGATAAATAAAATAACAATAATAATAACAGCAAATAA